GAAACCTCCAGGATACTTTGGGAAGGTGTAAAAATGGAAGGTGCACCACTCTGAAAGCGAAGGTGCAACGTTATGGAAATGAAGGGGCGGTAGCAGACGTTGCTAATGTAAACAAATATATGTCAGGAGTATATAAGGGAAAATCTGGTAACTGGAGAAGGTGCACACTATTACAATTAAATAGTCACCTTCTGTAACTGGGAAGGGTTATTCAAAAGCACATATTCTGGGCCATTCTAAGGGTTTGGTATAATAATCTGAACTCGGTAAATGTAAATTCTCAACTGGCACCTTCAACGGGCCTCTCTGTTTATAAACACAGAAGAGTTACGTAATTATCCAATCAGCGAGCGTCTAACAACCAAGGTAGCGCCTGCGAAACTTCAAGCCGAAGTAATCAAATACGGAGGGAAATCGAAGCACATTAGGGTTGTAAACATGGATTATGGATAAAATATCGCTTATGGTGGATTGTAAAAACATGAAATAAACACAGGTAAGCACTTCTGTGCGTAATGACACATATTTAATGCCACAAGGGTCGAGAACAACATCCCAAACGAATGTAAACAACACATTCAGTCCTTGTGAAACGGCATGTTTCTACTTTCGCTTTCAATCAAAGCTAATAGATTATCAATAAATCGGCATAAACACATATAATCACTTGAATTATCGTATCTACACTCCGTAGTGATGTGTAAATATCCATGCTAAGGTAAAATAATAATCATAAGTAATAACTATGACTGTCACAAGGTACAGGTCCACCTAAATTCATAACAATAATGCTGGCCTGCCTACATTTGTCCTTTTCTTGTACCCCTTCTTGAAAAGCGGGAGGGTATTTATTAATGGGGATGTCCGTCCATCTGTTTGTTATGCTTTAGATATACCCATCTCTTATCCGCAACTTCTCTTACATCACTAAATGAAATTTTCAAAGAATCTTTATTACATATTGGCGTTGTGCACCTTCTGTTACTTTTTCATCCTACACATATTTTGGGTTTCCAGTTGCAAAACATGGACACTGCCATTATATTCATTTTAGAGTCGGTTAATAATTTATATTATTCACTGCTCACAGTACCTTTATTTCATCTTCAAGTTTGAAATATATTTTTCCTTGGCACCTTTTTCATTGTGTTATGAAAATTTCAGTTTCACAGGAATAATATCAATGATGATAAAATGTGTGTTTTCACACAGCATCCTAGCTATTAATTAAGAGCTAGCAGGTTTGTTATATAAAACTTCTCTGTGAAAATAAATCTATATCAATTACACAAACATTATACATTGAGTAGTCAGAACTAAGTTATAAACAAGTATATACCAACAAAACGTCAGAGATACTCAAGCTGTAGAAAGTATGCTAGGAAGTGTCATTAATTAATATCCTAAAATGGTATAAGATGAGGGCTACTGAGTTCAATCTTCTGTTGAATAAAATACAGGTAATAAAAACAAAATTCATATATTGAATATAATTAATCGTACTAATTTTTAAGATGAACTTGAATACGTTCTACACTTTCAGGAATATTTTATAGGGGATAGTTGCCGTTTCTCAATTCAATGAAATATTTGTTTATGTAGACATTTAATATACTTAAAACTCATGCGCGGATCTAGAGGGGGGATGGGGGGTCAGGACCCCCTCCCCCTAGAATTAATTTTACAAGGTTAAAAATGTATATACTAAAACAAAGAAAAATTACCAAGGACCTTCTATGGAAAACGCAGAACCCCCCCCCCCCAGTAAACACGAATATCAATATTTGTAAAATGGGTTTGAAAAGTACTACACTCTCACTCCCAACCCCCCACGAAATAGGTTTTTGACGTTTAGGCAAGTTATACTCTTTTTTTGGGGCTTGTCAATAAATTTCTGGGATAGGATTTTTTTTTTTGACTGAGCTGGAAAAAATTCTGGATCTGCGGCTGAATCTATAAACAGTTTTTTAATTTTTTGCTTAATAACATACATCACAACCATAGGCGTCGGAACTGGCATTGAAAATTGGGGTTTACGTAATTTTGTTGGTTTAGCTCCCCCCCCCCTTTTTTCAATTAGGCCTCCACCCACTTTCAGTTTGCTTCCGACGCCTATGACAACATTTAATACACATCAATCCAAATAGCTTGTTACAAGCCTGTAGGAAAGTTTTTTCAGAGGGGGGGGGGGCGGGCTGCAAATAATCCACGTGACTACGGATGCATCCAGCTGTGCGGCATGTCCAATAAATATTCCGTACGAATCCAAAAGAAATTATATAGGTTCCATTACCAAACTGACGATAATGCTATTTTTTATTAACACAAACGTATGTATAACGGGAAATTTATCATTAATAATTTATTTGGGCTATTATTTTATTGTCACTCAAAGTACACATCATTTGCAGGCAAGTGAGTTACAATATCAGTTGGGGGAGGGCATTTTCTGGCCATGCATATTGTAGAATTTGTAAACGATGGGGTAACCTTTGTCACCTTTCAGAGTCACCAGTGGACTCGTCCATGGATGCTTCGTCGGCGATTGAAACGTCGGCGACTGAAAGTTACCTGAGATTCCTACGCAAAGGAAAGCGAGAAATTTCTGTATAGAAACTGTTGCAGCTGCGGGGCTTCACTCGTTGTTCATACACCATAGAAAAAAAAATCCAACATTAAACACTTAATATCTATTAATATACAAAAGTTTTCAAGATAAGCTTCATTTTTGTTTCTAGAAATATTTTTATCTACCAAAATAATAACTTTTCGTGTTTTAAAACTTATTAAATCGATGACCTAGCATCGTTTTAGATAACTCAAGCCCCTCTAGGGCTTAAGTAACAAATGTTTTGAAATGACCATACATAAAAACAGTGGAATGTTTGAGGGTTTGTGTGCGTACAAAGGTTTTTACTTTTATTTTGAAAAAAAATATATACTTCATTTTGTTGTTTTTAATCGCGATTCTACGAAAACATCGGTGTCCGTTTTTGGTTTTAACATTTGTAACAAAGCATTAGATTTACCGCTTTTTGGCGGGTGATACTGCTGATTTAGTAATAAATACTCATTTTTTTTATAAAGTTTTATGCATTGATGAATTTATTTGAAACCAAAAAATGTTCATGAAAAGTTTGAATAAATCCGGTGCACCGGTAAAAAAAAATATTGCTAAAAATCCAAAACCCTGGACCGTCGGCAGTTGGGCGTCGAGAAGACTAGATTAACCGCTTGCTGTCAGTATGTATAGAGTTGTCGTTCGTGTCTCTTTCAGTGTATTTAGATGACGCTACACTAAAAATGAGTTCCATTACGAAAAACTTTTGAGGTTTTCTATAATTTACTTTTACTTTGAACGAAATCTAATATTCAAAATAAGATTACTTTATCATGACATTTACTTACATTTCAAATTATAAAAATTAGATCAATTCATGAGAAAATAACATGAACTATTTGTGGCAGATGTGTATGCATGTATTCTGTTGAATATCATCAGAGTAAGTTGTTCGTCATAGTAGCCTCGCTTTCGGCTCTATATAATCAACACAATTTACTGCGCATGTTAAATGCGTGATGTCCATTGGAGATTGAACATAGGTCTACTCCCGAAACATGAACGTGTTTAAAAAAATCTACTCCATATTTTAAAATTGCATTGAATAAATAAAATTTTATGAAGTCTTATTTTTCATTAAAACACCATGGAGTGTTCCTATGTAATTTTAAATACATATTTTTAGCAAATGAAATTCTTTGCCCCATTCATAATCAATAAGAAGTCATTTTATCTAACATCGCCAATGCACTGGAACATTAAAAGTTAAACCTTTATTTTAAAAAAAAGGAAAATTTGTAAAATCTATACAGCTTAGGCAAAAATTAAAAACTGCTAAGATACAAATGAAACAAAAACTAATAATATTTTTGAGAGGCATTGACCTCTTGAAAATAACTACAGGCACGTAGGATATGCATGACCCACTCCCTCTTTTCTATTTTTTTTCCTTGCTTAAGCCGGGGATGAGTACACTTTTTCTCATTTTTGTATTTTATCTCCACCTTATATTTTTGTATTTTAATTCCACTTTATATGCAATTGATTTAATCGAAATATTTACAAATTAGAGACACATAACAAATTAAATCAAATTCTTAAAAGGAAGAAGAATGAGTTTCAAATTTATTGATGTCTGCATATTCCATGATTTCCTTCGCTTTAGATACACTGTAAAAAATAAGTGTTTTATAAATAAACACCATATTGCAACAGATAATAAACACTTCAACATGTTTAAAATTTAAACACCTCAAGAAGTGTTTAAGAAATAAACACGTTAGAATGTTTAAATTCTAAACACATAATGTTTAATATTCAACACTTTAAAAACACAAAATGTTTAAAAATTAAACACTTAATAAACACTTAGAGTTTACTAAATAAACACCGTGAGTGTTTAAAATTTAAACATTTCATGTTTAATAAATAAACGTGTTCAACCTAAACACTTTAACGCTTAAACATGTTTATTCGATGCAACAGATAATAATCACTTAAACATGTTTATAGGTCAATTTTTAAACACTTCAACGTGTTTATTTTACAAAATAAATAAAAACTTAAACGTGTTTATAAGTTTTTCACATTTTTATTTGAAACAAATATAAATCAGTACAAAACACACTGTGGTTGATAATGAATATGTTGTACATAAAGCTTTTTTTATATTAATAAATAATTCAATGTTGATTGAGGGTTCAAACTTTATAAACAACTGAAACATTAAATAACACATTCACCAACACATGGATACATTATTCAATTTTAGTTGAAAAAATAGAATTCTAAAAATAAACTAGCATGAACATGTTAAACCTGTCGGGAGGGGGGAGGCCTTTGAAATACGAAAAAAATACATTATCGCTTAATGAAATGAAATGTTTTTTTTTTCTAGATCATCCTTTACATCTTTTTTAAAAAAATAAAAGAAGCAAAATGACGAATAAATATGATGCAAAAAAACTGAAAATAATAATTTGTTGTCTGGGTACAGCATGTATAATATGTACTTGTATTACACTCATAAATCTAGTTGTAAATGTTACAACTTTATACTTTCACAAATATTCAGATTTTTAACCAAATGAATAAAATTTCCAGTTTTGACTTGTAAAGGACTAATTCTTGCTACTAAACAAGAGCTGCAGGGGTATCACTCACTTAATATCCATATCATTTTCTAACTGAGTTAAACAGTCAAGCTCCTCTGGTTGTGGGTAAAATTCAGGTTCTTCTACAAAGGATAATGATCTCCAGTTTTCCATTCTCCAAAACTGTTTTCACCCGAAGTAGTTCTAATTCCTCCATATCCTGAAAGATGAATGGAAAAATAATCACTATGCAAATTCAGATAATTATCTGTAAAAGAATACATGAGGATTGTAAAAAAAAATACATACTGAGAAACAATTTTGGAATAAAAATCTGCAATTCAAATACCTGTAAATCATACATGTATAAGCGTACAATCTGTACACTAAAAAAATTAAATGTTCATGTACCTGTAGGAGCAGCCCAACAGCAAAAATTAAGAGAGGGGGGGGGTTACCTTGTCCCAAGGTATTTTCTATCATGTACATATCACACTCCCTCAAAAAAGTAAAGTTTCCTTAAAGAATACATGTATGTACACGGGCTGGAGATGAAATTATTGTTGGCAGATGCGCTAACTGCAGATCTGTAGCTTAATAGTTTTATGTATTATATAGTTATTGGTCAAAGGCAAATACATAAAACCATAACGCTACAGATCTGCAGCTAGTACATGTGTACAGTGTGGTATAGTGTGCATGTTAAGGAGCATAAATATTAGCATGGGTAGGTTCCTAATTGGAATATTTTCATTTATCAAGAACCAATGGTCTGTGTGTTGGGGGGGGTTCTTTTTCTTTTACTGTAAGACTCACCTCTCAAGGTTAAGTATGATCTTTGTTTAAATCCCTTTCCTTTAACAAGTAATGTTTTCTTCTCAGGATTCACAGTAACAGATGAATGTCCCTGCAAAAATCAGATATCAAGACTACATAAGCATTTTATATGTCTACCTAGAGCTGCGCATAGCCGGATTGCACTCAGACGATTACTAACTATAGGAAAGAATCCTGCATTTCATAAATGAAAAGCATTTAAGATCTCTAATGTATTTAACATTCTTTTTAAAGAGATTTTATGTAATGAAATGTATAAATACCTCCTATTTCCTGGCTAGATATGGTGTTTCTTGTCAGTATGTGCGTGATTCTGCATCTTCTGCGTTCAAATGGCATGTTATGACATAATCAACTGCGTCATTTTCTATCATAACGAATTAAACACTGGTGTTTAATTTGCAATTTCTATATAAATACCATGTGTTTAATTTATAAATATATATGGGTAAGAAATGAACACTCTTGTCAAACACCGGTGATTAAAATATTGATACAATTATAGAAAATATCATAATATTTGTCTCTATTTCCTCTTTAACAGTTTCTGAAAATTTTGAAATTTTGGCACAAAATTATTACCAATTAATGTTAATTGTGAATGCGTTTGGTATGATCTAAAGTCAACATATTCCTTGCTATTCGTATTTTTTTCTGTGTCGATAAATATCTAATATTATGTGCGGAATTACTTCATAAATTAAGACATTGTAAAATGACAAATTCATACAGCAAATACTAAGAAGCAACACATAATTTATTTTTTGATTTGATGCATATGAACATTACGTGTTTAAGACGGATGATTAAACACCCTACTTATTGAACACCTGTTTAAACATCAGTGTTTATATATAAAACGCTTGTGTTTTGTTTTTAAACCTACTATGTTTAATTGTAAAACACGACTGTTTAAAAATTAAACACAAGTTAAACATCATTTTTTACAGTGTAGTGATCAAGTAAGGGAGACGACGAGAATAAAACAAATTGCAAGCATATCTTTTATGTATCAGTCGAAAACGAAATACATGTATCTAGAGAACAGCGTAGAGATAGAAGGAAACATAATTGATAACATGCAATACGAATTAAAAATCCAAAAATAGGAAAACACCACATTACCAATTAAACGAAAGGTGGAGGGGGATTCGATACCCCCATTGCCTGTTTAAGTAACGACATACGTTGTTACAGATGTAGAACTTTAAATGTACATATTTTATATGCTACATACATATAGAATGTCGTCCCATTTACTCCTCTAAAATTTCCCTGTACGTTTTTTCTCTATTATTACACGTTTGAGCACAATATAAAACCAAGTTAAGTTTTATTAAATTTAATCGTTGCCTCCATGTAAACTTTAATAAAAACATTTTCAATATATACACTGAATGCATAAATACTTTTATTTATACTCGGGACGATATTTGGCGGAATTTCATTCATATACGAAGTTATTGCTAATTTTAGAGCCTTGCTGAATTTTCTAAAGAAAAAATATAAACAAAACGTAAAAACATATTTCTGGGGGTTGATGGTTGGATTTGGGTTTAAGTCTTTGACTTCTATATTACCTTCATACCTTATCACAGATCTGCGATTTTAAAGGGGGTGTCTGCCTTTTCATGAAGGGAATGCAAGGTCACTTTTATTTTGCAAATATGCGGCGAGAATCCGTGCGTGAAGATAATAAAACAAAAAGAAAAGAAACGGTAAGAAATCAACAGTGCAGAGGAATTTTGTTAAATTTTCAGAGAATGGGCATCAAAGGTAGAGAAATCATATGGGTAATTTTCATGGTATGTTTCGGACACTTTTAAAAGCCCTACTTACCCTCGACCTACGTTAAAAGATATGTTGACGTCATACTATCTATAGCAAATAAAAACAGGGCAGAAAAAGAATGCTGGATGCAGTTCTAAATATTTAAATCTTTGGGTACCAATATATTTCATTTGCAATTAAGAAAAGTTTAATCTTCGCTATGTTGCCAGGCGGGGGTATCAGTGTTTCACAAACAAACATAATTTTTTTCATGTAACATTTGATTGCGAAAGGATAGCTAAGGGCTTTTATATTTGACATGTGCATTATCCGTGACAGGATATTTTAGAATACATTTCGTCAGCCAGTCTGTTCATCTGCCACGAGAACTTTAAACTTGATAATAACTGAAGAATGAGTTGAAATAGGACCTTTATATTTCACATGTGCATTATTTGTGAGAAGTGATTGTTAAATATACTGTTGTTTTTTTTTTACCCTTTGACATTGATCTTGAAGCTAGACCTGCTTAAAAACATTTTTGGTAAATACGAACTTGCTTTATTAGAATACATGAAGAACTCAAAATGCGTTAAAATTGCCATAGGGACCTTTGTTCATGGGAACTCTCGTATAATTGTTGAACAATAATAAACAAATTGACTTTCCTGAACCATTTTTTTCACTACATCTACTTCTTTTGCTTTTTTAAAGACACAAACCTTAAAACCTCAATTTATTTTTTTCTGTTAATCCCAGTTGGGACGTCAAATACAAGTAAAGACATTTGTCAGGAACCAGATCAGAAGACGAAGGTGGGATCTAAACTTTAGGCAGATGATCTACTTATATATCACCTGACCAGCGATGGGTAACATATATGTATCATGAGGGCTGAAAATATCAGCATCACAAAATTTCTATAAGAAAATATCGCACTGCATCATTATCAAATAAACATCAGCTTCTTGAGTTCCTAGCTAAATGTAGCTTGTTCTAAAAAAAAATCTCAAAATATTCAATTCATCACGATCCCCATTTAAATATTTTTTTTACTGTTTGAGAGGAAAATTATACAATTGTACTATGTCACAAAAATCTAATACTTCTAGCTTGTTATGTGTTAAAAAAAAATCTTGAAGTCGTGTTTAATAAGTAAATTTGTTCGATGTCCGCTTCTTCTACCCCATACACTCATTTTAATGAGATTCATTGGAGCTGATTAAGGACTTCAACCCACCTTATTTATATGACTTTACTATGTCATGAACAGCGGCTGTCAATGAATATAATATTTTAAATGGATATATACATTGGAAGAGATCGGCGCTTGATTGTACCAGCATATTTTGCTTTTGGGATTTCAAAATCAACAACACATGATCAATGTCATTTTTAACGTGATTGATATTTTCATACCTTGTCTACAAATCGACATTAACTGTACATTCATTTTCTCTCGGAATCTCTTTTGACATTAAAAGACAAGTTCTCTGAATGCATTTTATTTCTTTGTAGCCAGTTTCTTAGGTCTTACCAGTATTTTTCTGGGACAAACAATTATACAATTGTAGAATGTTGAATAATGAAACCCCTCCCCCTTTTGAAGTCATTTTTAAGGCCTTAATTTATTTGGAAACTTCATGTAAAATTTAAGATAAAATTTCATACAACTTCCAGAATGAAGTAAAAATTTCATAACTTATAAAACAACTGTGTCCCAACACACCCCTGAATTAGAGACGTACAACACACTGGGGGCGATAACTCTTGCAATTTCAATTAAACGTTTGACGTGATGTCAAATTTAACGTCAAAAATAAAGCGTCACAATGACGATTAAACGATCCCGATGTATATCAATCATAAAAAAAATTAGATATGGGGTTTGGTTGTGATTATGAGTACCATACTCAATCCATAAGTTTTTTTTTAATTAACCCGATAAAACTCAGTGAAAAGCAAGACATATAATACCATCCCTTAATGTGTTTATTTCATTTTATATACAATAAATTGAATTCTTGATCAAAGTGCAGCATTTTGTTTAGCCTATTCTGAAAATTTTATTTTACATTGCCGAAATTATCATTGTGTACAATTGTCTATATAACATTCCGATTAACGGATTTTTTTTTTCTTCTTAAATTAAATAGAACAGCTATAAACAAACAAAAAAATTTGGACTCTGTAAAATCGATGTTGTTGTCAAACCCTTACTAATCAAAAAGGAACAACTCTGAAAATGTAGGAGATTTTTGTTTTCCTCCCTTTATTCACGATTTTCCGCATACACAGAATCAGATCTATTTACAGCAAGACCTGATAAATCTGAGAATTGAATACAAGGCCTATAGACTACATACACACAATGTAATTAGAGAATTGAAAATAATTGTTTACTAATACTGAAATTATCAAATCAACTTATTCAACATAAACGTAAATTGAATTCGTATCCAGGTTTCATGTGATATGGAATGCATACCGCATGTACATATATGGGCTAAACACTAAAATTCTTCGGTATTTTTTCCCCTGATACATATAACACCAGTAGTCAATATTTATTCTGCAGCTATGAATTTAATAACTAATTCATAGCTCCGCGATTCAAACCATAATGAGGAAATACTATTATATTTGCACTGTAAACGACGTTTCCTCAAACGCTAATGGTCTGCGAAGCAAAAAAGGAAGGAGTGGGGTGGTACGGGTAAATGTTTATTCATGTATATAAAGTCATATAAATGTAGATTCATGGTAAAGTGATCGACCCCCGTCTGAAAGACGCGCGGGAACGTGATTTATTAAGAAAAGGGAAGGGGTTAATTTTCCGCTATTAAATCAAACCTGGTCGTACAAAAATTATACAAAAATTATGAAGATTATTTTTACTACCAGCTACCTTTTGTTTACAAAAAAAAAATTGAATTTGAAAAATACGCAATTTACAAGGCTAAGATAATTCATAGTTTTTTGGTTTAGGGTCTTAAAGATTTGTTTTGTTAACATGTATATCAAAAAGATGACTACGTTTCTGTGTTAAATGGTTAAAGGAATAAGGCAATGAAATTTGACAGTTATATCTAACCTGGCTTTTTTTTGGAAATCAAGACTTAAGTAGTTCATTGATTAAAAATTCTTTCTCCTTCTAAACAACTAAAGGGGGTAATTTTGGAATTTGAAATAACGAAAATTAAACGACAGGAATTTTTTGGGGTAGGTGTGTTGTACATTCTTAATAGGATTCTCGGATGTCAAATGATCATATCAAAAGAGTTTTTGCTCAGTCACATATAGGTCGCAAAAACGTCGTATTGGAGGTTGCGCCGACTGGACAGACCATTCATTCCTTACACAAACACTACTAATTTATTGAAAATTAAAAATCTATATGATTCATAGTTTATTCTTTAGATAGAAAAGATGATTCTAAATAGATATTTCAAAATTCACTGATGTAACTAAAGCGGTTTTAATTTTATGGCGCTAATCCACGATCTTTTTGATAACCCCTCGTGCATGCAGGTAAGCAAACAAATATTTCCTCTGGTGTAAAATTGAACAGAGTAATCAAGACATGGTGACCTAATTCGTTTCTCTAAAGAGAAAACAATCGGTCGTATTTTAAATTGGACCTTTTAAAGAATAGAAATAAAGCCCTTG